ATAATTAAAGCCACACCCAATGGCTCACTCATTGTGAAGCAGTTATCCATTTTATTGACCATAGGAACTTCTGGTATCTCAGGCTTTGTCCATTCAGACAAATTATTCAGTGCTAAAACAATCAAACCAAATGCAAGTGATAACTAGTTTACCAGTTATTTCATATATATATACATATACTTGTAGGGCTGTTTGATACAATTTAGTAGGTAAAAAAAGCTTCTATAAACAATAAGTTATCTAAAAAGTAAAATGATATATTAATTTATACCTCTTACTAACCCAGTTTGAGGGCTGTAAGTTGCAAGTTACGGACCAAGTTTTTCCCCATTTTATGGCCGAAGCGCAAAGCGTGCAGGCCATAAATCGAAGGGAAAGTGCAATTTTGCATGTATGCAACACTCGACCAATATTTCTCCAATACAGAGCCCGCACTAATTATATGTATATTAACATAAAATTATGCTGTCTATAATTATTATAAAATTTTTCTAGTGCTCATAAAATATAGTTTTGATACTTGTTGACAAGGACAATTATGGTAAAACCTACATGACAATTTAATTTAAACAAATGCATGTCAGTATTGTCATTCAAAATTTCTTGCATGTCCATTAAAAAAAAATAACATATTGTAATTAGACTTATTTATTAATTTTGAGAGATATGAATTTTTCAGAAGATTTAAATTCTTACCATATGCAATATCATTTTTGACGATCAGAACCTCTGCAAGAATAGCTTCTACTTTTGGCTGAGAACAAATTAAAAGGAAAGTAAATGCAAAATAATGAATAAGATGAATAAGATAAAGGGTTTACATATCACGTATATAAGTAAAAGCGAGAAGTGTTCATTTGAATGAGGAGATCATAGAGCACATTTTGGATGCTCACTTTTCAAATTCTTACGAAAAGCCTGCCTTGAAGGATCTTGAAGGTCTTTACAAGGATCATTGGTTATTTATTTTAATAATTTTTTATTAATTTATAAACCCCAAGATCTTCAAGATTCTAGCAGGATCCTGTCATTTGTTATTATTTGAAAGATTCACCAAAAATCCTCAACAATGTTAACAAAGTCATGTACAGGTGTAGTAACCAAAGACGCAGCTTAAACCTTGGAATGGGTAAATAGGGGAGCTCCAGGGGGCAGGAAGAGAGATCAAGCTATAGGGAACAAGGCTGTTGATAAACATGTTTTTATAATATTCATGATTGCACAATGTAGAAGGAGACAAGTTCATTAATATGTCAGTTTTATTTTTCAGTCATAGTGATATCAAGGATTTCATAGACAGAAATATCTGAAAGGAATTGAAATTTCGTCTAAAACAAGCTCAAAAATTTATCAAACCTTATGCAAGTCTTTCCCAACAGCTTGCAAAACTTCATCCTCATTCTCATCGAAAAGTTTTAAAAGATTCCTGAGCTGCTCTTTTCTGAATTCTACATCTCTTGTCCTTCCACTTCTAAATGTATCTCTCACTTTTTTGACTGCCAACTAAACAACAGATTGCAATGCAGTTAGTGAGAGCACAGTTATTTTATTGTTATAGTTAACTGATTAACAATTATAATTATTATGAGGTTAAATACACTTATTTAACTTAGTTAATGACGAGGAGTCTGTTGCTCAGTAGTTGGCGTGGTGTTGGAGTGACATTGGCATGGCATTGGCATGACGTTGGCGTGACGTTGGCGTCTAAAAGTATTTTAAGTGGCATGCCGTGGCA